GATAAATATCCGATCAGTCGACGAACGTGAAACGCTCGATCGAAAGAACTCGTGCACGCTGCGACCGACAGAACGCATCGCACCACCGAATCTCACGCGGATTTACCTTCTCTCGATCGTACATCCACGAATATCTTTCTCATACGTTTGATTCCGTTGTGGCGCAGCGTATATTTTGTTCCCACGCGGCCTCTGACATCGTTCGAACGCTTTCGGTATTTTTATGGGGAAACCGGCGTTTACGAACGATCGACGCGTACTCGCGGTGCGAACAACGCTTAGCAGCGTTCGCCTACGACGAATCGGTTTGCCGTTGGCGCGCTCTAACGAATCCGTTCCGCGTAAAGATTCCTACTCCTGTCGACGAAAACTCGATCCGCTGCTCTCCACTCCAGCCTTTAACTACGCGCGTCTTTAAAAACGCCTCTTTCAACGCGCTAGCTAGACGTCCGGCTCGAGATAAACGTCGGGTGCAGCCGACGATATATTCTTCCATCGACCGATTCCGTCTCTTCCAAGCATCCGGATTAACTAGAATCCGGACCTTCGAAATCTGGATCACGATTGTGAAAATTGCCGCCACATTTAACGCGTGAAAAGCCGAAATTAGTAGTACGGCGTTATATAAGCGGACCTTAAATTATTGCGCTAGCTCTGTGATGCGAAACCAGACGTTTCCGCAAAGTCTGCGCGCCAGAATCCGCAAATTCACAATCGATTTACACGATTAACCGACCTTGGCAATTCATCGTCTTACGACAAACACTCGATTACAACGCGTCGATCGCTCGCTAATCCCCGAAGGAGAAACGCTTTTATACTGGAAACGTACAGCGTGTATCTTGCGCGTTATAGCGACGTAAACATACGTTAAATCCCATTTTCGATATTTCCATACGAGACAGATGAATGGCGATGCATCGTTTTAAATTCGACGTGCGCGTCGCGTAGGAATAACTTTTTCGACGTTGTCGCTCTTTCGATAAATAGTTGTACCTGAATTGCCGAGATCAAGTTTTTTCCAAAATCGCAACGAAAGCGTTCCATCCTCCGCGTGTACCGAGAGTATATCGGCGTAGCAAACTGCGATTACCCGTTTTAACGTAGCCGTGATACGATACAAAGCGACCGAAACTGTTACGGATCGCTTTAGCACGGCAAATAATAACGCGTATCTTCCAGAATCCTCGATTGTCGTGTAAACCAACGAAGAAAATGGTTCCTGAAAAGATCCAGCGAGAAGATTGTAACTTCCGTGAGAATTCGCACCAACGTAGAATCGAAAATCGTCAAGGTCGAATATTTGATCGCGTTCCACGGGGAAACTGTTCGCGTAATTATTTTCACGAATCTGACAAAATTCTAGAATATTCGTCAACGTAGAACGAACGTTCTACGCGGCAAACGTAATTCGAGACTCGCCAATTAATCGTCGATACTCGTAACGTTGAAACGTTAACGTTTCGTTCAGTCGGACTAAATCGTCCGCTATAAATTCCACCGAACGACTCGTTTCTCTCATATGCAAAACAATTAGTCTTGACAGCAACGCCTCTGAGATCGAAGAGTTTTCCTTGCACGCGAAATCGTTGAACGCACGTAAGAAAACGATAAGAAGGTGAAAAAAGAATCGACAAGGAACTAAGAAAGAAAGAAAGAGATGCAAAGATTTACATTAGTAAACACACGCAGACAAGGTTTTATGGTTTAACCGATGTTATCGGACATTCTACGAACGCAGACGTTAGGATACGCGAGATTTATCGGGATATCTCGCGCGCCTTACGGTTCTCTGTTCCCCCGATAAAGAACTACCTCAACTTCGATAACCTTTTATTAGCGGTTAACGCGTGCTATCTCTTATCTATCAGGGACAATTCGTATCGGAGCTGTCGTATTAGGCGGTGGTATATCGTTCGACCAAGACACGGCCAGACACCGTCCTTTCGTACGAACGTTAATCTCTCGCTCCGATCGTTAACTGCCGCTGTGCGATTAATACGTACGCCCAAGTGTACTCGGTATCGCATCACACGCTATAATTAACCGCTTATATCGGCTAGTACGTAACGCACGGTGTAAGGCCAATAACACGATAAAACGAAAATAATTAGAATCAAAGTCTAAAACGAGTTACGCTCTTCCGCCTTATCTACGATACTTGCACGTTGAAAAATTACTCGGTTCCTTTCGTCGCGGAGAACCGGCCAACGATCGTAGAAAGATTCGCTGGAACCTCTAAGGCTAGGCGTCTCGTTCGATCGAAGGGGAGAGAAGCAGGTAAGAAAGGCGAGTCGCCTGGAAGAAGTAGTTACCAGTCTCGACAAAGAAGCTAACAGGAATCTGCTTCGAGCTGCAGCAACTTTTTGTTTGATCCAGAGAAACCGTATAGAAAGAGGGAGAGAAGGAAATCGTGACAAACTGTAAGCAGCTTTGGTAAAACAACCAACGCGAACTCGTCGCACGCCACTCGACGTTTAATTAAGAGAGATCCAGGAAAGAATAAGTGGAAACAAGGAATCGCGTAAGAACGAAATATGACTAACGATGCGATTAAACGTGGTATTACAGACAGTATTGAGAAACTGAAACGTTACAGCGCTGGAAACGACGATGAAAATTTCTGACGTTCACGATTGGCCGTTTCGACGAAATCATCGAAAAATCGTTCGTCTCTTGCAAAATATACGGAGAAAGTCTAAAAGGAATAGCGTGTATGATTTATAACGACGTCATATTATAAAAAAAGTACAACGTACAATACGTTTCCTACGATTTCTTAACAATTCGTTGTTACCTGGCCACGCTAAATCGAGAATAACGAAG